AAATAAATGAATAATAGATAAATAAATAAATAAATAAATAAATAAATAAATAACATTGTATAACACTTGTTTCACGATCGAACAATGATAAATAAACACATATAAGATAGAACAATGGTCAGTAAATAAATAGACGACTCGATTCAATGGATCATAGGATAAAATCAATAAATAATAAATAAAATAAAGGACATTCATTTGAAGACGCTATTGACCAGTAGCCATTGGTTATCCAATTTAGAACAAAATTCACTTGTTACGTAATATTGATTATAGGTGTCATTAACATAAAGACGAATTAACAATTATTCAGATTGGTTTATTCGGAAACATTCCTTTAGAAAAAGTTTCTATCAATGATTCATCTTTTTTATTTTTTATAATTGTAAATATTGTCATTATTAATTTTCCATTTGGATTTGATAATAAAATTGACTTTTTAATGCGCGCATATTAAAATATCAATTAATCCAATTCATAGATGATAAATGTTATTCCATGCTAATCGTTGCGCATACGTTTAATTTGGTCTAACATCAACATCATTAAACTAATTCACTTCCAGCATTAATAAGAAATATTTATCAATCAATAAATAATAACAATGATAAAATAAAAAAAAATATTAATAAGAATATTAATATAATATTAATGACTGTGTTGTTGTTGATTTTTATTATCATTATTTTACTTTCTTTTTCTTTTCTTTTTTTTTAATTTAATTTTGAAATATAAATGAGTCTAATATCATTTATGTGTACTCGTGTTTCACTTTGAGTTATTTCATCGTTAACAGTATAAACAGGATGTTCTTCTTGAATAATAATTTGAGGTGTAATTGAATATTTCGGTTCTAATTTATTTTTCATTCCATGTCTTCTAATTAAAACACGATCATTTATTGCATAATGAGGATCAGGACGTCGTTTATCATATTGAGTCTTATATTGATGTTGTTTACGAATAATATTTTCACGAGCATATCCATGTATCAATTTCATATTTTTCTTTAATTGCTCATAATAATCATTTGGTTTTCGAAATGTAAATGATGATATTGGTCCATCAATAGGTAATCTTGGTTCTCGACCATATAATAATTGAAATGGTGAATATTGAGTTGTTGAGTGTGTTCCCGTATTGTATACAAATACCACAGGTAACAGAAATTCATCCCAATTATTATTTTCTTTA